ATGAGTCAACACAAAGTTTGTTAGCCACTCCATGACAATTCCGATCGTAAAGTTCTACGATTTAACGCTAAGGTTGTTAGAATCACAATTTAGACTGTACTCCGTAAAAGTTCTACAATTTATATTTTATACAAATGAACCAATTTGAATTACATGTAATAATATCGTAGAATTATACAGTCGTACAAAAAAAGTTCGTTACTACATACTATCGTATAAAATTGTACAAAATCATTTGTAAGCGCATAAAGTCTATCAAAGTTATAAAAATATAATGAGAAAAGAGTCAAATAGGTCCCTGTACTTTAACAAAAAAGTCAATTGGATCCTTAAACAATTTGCCGCCTCAATTAAGTCCCCTAAGTTTGAAAAATTAACCAAACAGGTCATTTAAACGGTTAGCATCCGGTTAACCGGTTCCTTGTTGACTTGAATGTATACGTGTCATTATTTTAATGAAAATTGTTATTTTTACCTATTTGTTAAAATGATATATGTCCTTCGAAACATGTAAAAAAAATTAAAAACAAAGACCTTTGTCATCGTTCAAAACCTTCTTGGCAACGCAGCTTCATTTCAGCCCTAGATATGCAAATGGTGTGAGACACGCTCCATCCTTCTGAAGTTTGTTACGTAATCTGAAGTTTAACGTGAATCGGAACTCCATGTAAGTGTTGAATGTATTAGGTTATACTTTATTAGGTTTCTGTTTTGGGGTCTTTCATGGTTTACCCGCCGTTTAATATTCACTACATGAACATCCAGATGGTTATGTATGTTAATACACAACGTTTCTGGTTCTTTGTGCTTAATTTTAGTTGCCATGAACTTGTAATTCATTTGAGCCTCTGAATTGAAGCATGGTCTTTTAATGTGTACAGAATGTTTGATAAAGTGGAACTCATAATACATCATGGAGGGAACTTTGTTACCATTCCTGAAACTAAATACATAGGTGGTGCAGTGGAATGCATTCACATTGATCCCGACTTGATATCCTATCCACACTTAATGAGGGATTTAAAAAGTGGGAGCTATGGTAATATTACAGGGTTGTACTTCAAAAGACCTATTGAATCTATGGACATGCTTCAGGTATTGCACAATGATGAATCAACTCTTCACTTGATAAATATAGCCTCAACTTGTGGGAAGTGTGACATATATGTGGAGCATGGTTTGGATGAGGTTGAATTGGTTCTTCCTTTACCTCCCCCAACTGAAGTAGTAGCTGATGTTGTTGAAGAATCTGAGGTGAATACAAAGGACACACAGGGTGATGCCCCTTCTCCAACTGATGTAGTGGGTGATAGAGGTTGTGACAGTGAAGTACATGTAGAATCAGTTTCTGAAACCGAACTTCAAGGTCAGCCACAATCAGAAAGTGAGGCAGAGAGTGAGGCAGAGGGTGAGGGTGAGGGTGAGGGAGAGGGTGAGGCAGACTCAGAGGAAGAAATCTTTAATGAAGTCCATGTTCACTCACATGATAGTGGTACACAGACAAAAGCAAATGAAGGAGAGGGTACAAATGGTAAGGAAAACAGTGATGAGGAGGCAGACAGTGTAGAGTATGATTCATCCAATCCTCCAAGCTACATTGGTGAGGAAGATGCAGATGATGGTAGTTCTAGCCGCCCAAAGATCACCAATGTTTCTTACAATCCGGACTCTGATCCTCCCCTTATTGAGTTGGCTATGCTATTTGAAGATTCTAGACAATTCAAGAATGCTATTATCAAATATGCAGTGGTTAACAAGAAGGATTTACATTTTGTTAAGAATGATTCTATGAGAGTTAGAGTTGAATGTGCTTTAAACTGCCCATATCTTTGCTATGCTAGTTGGGAAGATAACCTTAAGTGTTTCCAAGTGAAAGTTCTAGAGTCTAAACATAAATGCAACTCCAAGTTTAAGCTGAGAATAGTGAGCCAAAAATGGATAGTTGACACATTTGAGGATAAGGTAGTTAAAAATCCTACCATGGGTGGAGTAGACTTGAAGAAACTAGTTAAAGCTGAAATGAAAATACATATTTCTACTAGTATGGCCACAAGGGCTGTGCGTGATATACATAAGAAAAGCCAGATAGATTTTAAACACCAATTTAAGAAATTGAGAAATTATGCTGAGGAGTGTTTAAGGTCTATTCCAGATTCCACTGTGATCATTCACACTGTCAGAGTTGTACCTGAAGCACCTGCAATTTTTCAAAGAATATATATGTGTTTTGGACCGGTCAAACATGGTTTTATGGAAGGTTGCAGGAAGATCATAGGATTGGATGGGTGTTTTTTAAAAGGACAGTTAAAGGGTGAGTTTCTTACTGCTGTTGGTAGGGACAGGAATAACCAAATGTACCCAATCGCTTGGGCTGTTGTTGAGATAGAGAACAACTCATCCTGGTCATGGTTTTTAAGCCTCTTAAAGGCAGATTTGCAAATCACTAATCCACATATGTGGACTATAATTAGTGATCAACAAAAGGTGTGTAACTGTGTTTCTGCCTTTCCCTATATTATTATTCATAAATTGCTATTTAACATCATGTATCATTTATGAAAATATCACAGGGTCTGTCAAATGTCATTGCCAATATCCTTCCAGATTCTGAGCACAGAAATTGTGCTAGACACATACACGCCAACTGGAGCAAATTACACAGAGGATTGGTGTTGAGGAACCTGTTTTGGAAGTGTGCTAAGTCAACATGTGAACCACAACTCCAGGCTGCATTAGCTGAACTAGACAAGATAAATCCTGAGGCTGGAAAGGATTTGCGCAAATACGCTTTCAACTTATGGTGCAAGGCATATTTCAGAACTCAAGTGAAGTGTGACACCGTAGATAACAACCTATCTGAGGCTTTCAACAGCACCTTATTACAATGCAGAAGCAAGGCACTGATTCCTATGCTGGAGGATATTAGGGTAGCTACAATGAAAAGAATTGCAAAGAAGAGAAAATATGTTCAAAGGTGGCCAGGTATATGTGTCTGTATTTGCTATGGACTGATCTGACTATGATAATTCTTTAGTTTTGAGTATATGTACTGACTATGTATTTTATATTAGTATATGTGGACTTATGAACCTATATGAATCATAAAATGTGTGTATTATATGAAAATATGAACTGAGTATATGTATTTTCTATAAGTATATGTTGACGTATGAACCTATATGAATCAGAAAGAGTGTGGTACTTTATGAGTATATGAACTGAGCATATATGAAGTGTGTATGACTTATGAAGTGGGTATATGAACCTATAAGTATATGAATTGGGTATATGACTTATGAAGTGGGTATGTTGTACTTCTTCAGTCATATATGCAAACATGCAGTATATGTTGAGTTATGAACCTACATGTTATGAATTATGTATGTTGTACATATATGGTCTATTTCTTGAGTGCTTCAGAACCCACCTGTGTATATGTTCACTTATGCATCCATCCATTTCAGGAAATTATGGTCTTATCATATTGAAAAAGCTAAATAGAAATATTTCAGCAAATGAAGATTGACAAGTGGACTTCAATGGGGATGATGGTTATGAAATCAAAAAAGGAAGACAACAATTCAAAGTCAGCCTAAATGGTAGAACCTGTTCTTGCAGGCGATGGGATCTCTCTGGAATCCCTTGTGCACATGCCATTTGTGCAATATTTGATAAAGGAGAGGATCCGGAGCACTATGTAGACAATTGTTACTCCAAAGAGCTGTATCAAAGGACTTATTCATATACCCTCCAACCTATTAATGGTGAGTTATTATGGCCTGCCACAGAGTTTGAAGAGATAATGCCTCCCTTACCCAAGAAGATGACTGGCAGGCCCAAGAAGAGGAGGATAAGAGAAGAAAGTGAACCACCAAGGAGTGGTACCCGATTAAGCAGAAAAGGTAGAATAATGAAGTGCTCCATTTGTAACGGAGAAGGACACAACAAAGCTTCTTGTGCTAACAGACTGAATAAGGAACCATCTGCATCTCCATCTGAAACAGGAGGAACAAATATAAGGGGTAAAGGGAAAAGAAGATCATCTGCATCTGCATCTGAAGCTGGTAATGCAGTCCCTGAAGGTGGAATACCACAGACTGAACAAGGAGCCAGAGGGGGGAGGGGAAGAGGCCAAACAGCTCTTAGAGGAAGATCCTCTGCACCTGAAGGTCGTGGCACAAGTCAACCTAGAGGAAGGAGAGGAAGGAGTAAGAAGTCTAGATTTGAGAAGTGTGTTGTATGTGAGTCATATAAATATATATGTTTGAAATCTAATTTTATTTACCTCATGGCAGCCTGGACAAGCAAGTGAAGTGGTCATTGGTGAAGGATCCAGATGAAGGGGGAAAGAGATGAAGTTCCAGATTTACAAGTGTTTTGTTTTTGCTTTTGTTGTGAATTTTGAGTTGCTATGAAGTGAAATGGTCATTGGAGGAGGATCTAGATGAAGGGGAAGAGATGAAGTTCAAGATTTAGAAGTTTGTTTTTGTTTTGTTTTGTAGTACATAAAGGCAAGTGCTGTAAAATGTAGGTGGTACACCTACTGTTTTTGTTTTTTGTCTCTAGAACTTGTGGCTAGTATGGCACTTTTGTGGCCCTCAAAGTAAACACTGATTGGCCTTGTGCGGCCCTACTACTGTTATGCATTTTGCTGTACATTTGGTGGAATTATTGTTACTGAAAAACCTCCAATGAACATGTCAATTTATGGTTTTTAGTTTGAACTATGTCAATAATGTTGGTACTAACTTCAGCCTTATACTACACACTGACTTAAGCCTTATACTACTGGTTTTTTGTTGGTGCTGAGTCCAGCCTTGATACTGAACATGTCAACAGTCTTATTCATTTTTATATTATTAACTTGGTTCATTTCACTTGATCTGTTACCATGTTTCTGCATACTACACATATTCTTTTTCTTTAATAGCACAACCACTACACATATTCATTCTTTAATAGCACAACTACTTTACAAAAAGAACACACATGTGATGACTGAAAAAGTAGGCCAAGCAATCAATTCTTACACACACTTTATTAAAGGAGTCAAGGATAGTACAACACAAGTTCAAGGCCATCACTCATTGTTTATTACACTAATGCATTCCAACCGAGTCTTACACAGCAGTACAAAATGCAGACCAAGCTTCCTAAGTACTACAATTATAGTCTACTCAAAGTATTACATTTGAAGCTGATTACAGTAAACCATGGTAAGGAAACCCAGAACTGCAATAACAGCAACTCCAACCACTTTTCTAAACTTTTTAGCATCCTTCGCTTCAGTTTCAACAACCTCCTGAAGACATTCAATTTTTCCTTGTACTCCGCTTAACTGGTCAGCTAGCTTGGAGATCATGCTCTTTCCTTCAAACATATCTTGATTCACTTCTTCACCATGAACTGCATATCTACTTTCCAGAGAATCTTTCCACACAAAATATCCACATCCAACCTGGAATGCAATGTCACTAATTATATAGGTTCATTGAAATGATAAGAGTATCCTAATGTTCAACTATATACTGAAAACTTTACACAAAATTTTAGCAATTTCAGAAAGAATTACCTTCCATTTTTGGCAGCCGTAGAATGTTCTCCCACTCTCCCGAGCTACGCACAAGGGGGCCTTCAAAGCACAATAACAGTACACCGCCGGCTCATAATCAAGAGTAATGGTTCGTCCTTTTCTGGCAGGTGATGAAGATGCAGATGACATTTTGATTCGCAGTAGAAGAAGATGAAATGGACGATCGAGTAATTAGGGTTGGGGATGCGGCTGGCTAATCTACGTTAGGTTGGCTGAGAAGGAAATATATAAGAAATATATCATATTAACAAATAGGTAAAAATAATAATTTTCATTAAAATAATGACATGTATACATCCAAGTCAACAAGGAACCGGCTAACCGGATGCTAACCGTTTAAATGACCTATTTGGTTAATTTTTCAAACTTAGGGGATTTAATTGAGGCGGAACATTGTTTAAGGACCCAATTGACTTTTTTGTTAAAGTACAGGGACCTATTTGACTCTTTTCTCAAATATAATTGAAGTAATTTACTCCAACTAGGCAACTAGAAAAAATTATCCTCAAGAATTTTAATTTCTTAACCCAAATCAGTATCTTAGTAGGTGTGTGTGAGTGTGTGACTGTCTGTTTAGTTCACTAAAAACGAATTCAGTTAAGCTTAGGCAAACATTCTAAAGTTTGAAGCAATGATCATAATAAGGATTTTCTCATTTTCATTTCTAATCAAATATAACTATGAAATACTACGTAGTACGTAGTATGTACGGAGTATACGTTATTGTCATATTTGATGGAGTAATAGGACTAGGCCCAGAGCCTAATCGGCCCAAGCCCCGAACTTGGACCCGTGGATCCAAGTCCACAACCTGGAGCCTATCTACCAGTCCAGCGGGGAGCCTGTCAGTCCGACCGACCTGCCAGCTAGGAAAAATAACGGTCAAGCAATTAATGCGTTATTTAATTATGTATTTAATTCCGTATTAATGTTGTAATTAATTAGTCATTATTATCGATAGCAGTTACGATTTGTATACGCCTATAAAAGGCACATTGTAATTCAGATTAGAGAAAAGCGAATTCTAAAAGTTATTTCTGGCTATCAAACTCTCTAGCTACTTTCCTTATTCGTATTGCTTTCCTGATTTCTGCTTGAGTGTCCTTACGTAGCTTTCCTAAAAGCCTACGAGCGTCCTATTTTGGACCAACATTGGTGCTTTCATTGAGAGCTTCTGTTATCTCTCACATCACTCTAGTAGGAATTACCAAAAAAAATTCAGAAAAATGGGAATGTTTGAAGGTTTCCATGAGTTTTTCAGAATTTCATATCTGTAACCCAGAATATGAATCTAGATATGAACTTTTTCAGATATGGAAAAAGCCAGCAACAATCTGATACGGAGGCATAGGGACCTTAGTTCGGCAATTGGCTACACAAGTAAAGTTTCCGGCGATATCTTCTGATTTGTTCGCCTTGGGAAACTGAGCTTGGATATCCATCATTAATGGCCGCTGGCAAGGAGAGAACCTCAAGCCCGACACCGACGCTCAAGATCAGAAGCTTCTAGGCATCGTTCGTAGGCCACCTACATCTCCATCTCAGCCCTGTTCGTCCGCTCGCCTAGAGTTGTACTGACCAGACGAATTAACCTAAGTCTGGCACCCTCTCAGGCCGGCGAATCCAAGCCGGGAGTTCCCTTAGGCGGACGGTGCCCTGAGGTCGGCAGCTGAATCCCCAGATCAGGTGGTGTAGCTTGGCGACAAAACTCTTGGGCCGCTGATGTAAATCTGATGGTGCTCCGGGCGACGCGAGTCCTCTAGGCCGCACTAACGGCCGCCCTCCGATCGGGCACTCCAGTCAATGGCACAGGCCGGGCGGAGCTTCCCATGGCAGACGACCCATCCGATGGCAGTGGCGGTAGCCGGCTTCCTTTCTACTGCGACGGCGGCTGTTCTCTGCCTCTGTGACGGCCAAAGGACCTCCCTTCTGGAAGTCTCCGTCTGCGGTCTGCCAGAAGCTTAGCACAAGGTGTTAGGCAAGCTGTTCAACACCACAAACTTTGCTAGGTTGATTTTCGGGCCTGGAGTACTTAAGGGCCAAACCCATTTGAACTGGTTTTTCGTATGGACCAAGCTTCCATTCTTCCAAACAACAGAAAAGCTAAGTATACTGCTCAATTTTACATCATCATCGATCAAAAAATTATAAAATGATTCAATAAAAAAATCACAAATTGAATCATTCCAAGAGTATTTTGAGTGATATAATTGCTTTCACTCTTGTCAAGCGTATGTAATTTTAACATTGACCAACGGACTTATGAAATCTAATCACTCAAGTACGCCGGGCGAGCACACACACTCGTACATTGGCCGAGCACACACACTCGCGCCACCGGGTCACGTCATATGGGTGTGACGATTAATAAGCTCCAATGTAAATGCTAATACCTCACACTCTTGACTTCATACGAGTTCTTGCGTGCTCTTACCTCTTCCTAGTGCATCACACTCCGACCTCGGGGGACGAGTCACCCGTTCAAAAGTTTTTACTTGCGGGTTCGAACTACTAACCTCGGGCGGCGAGTTAAACTCTTGTTAGGGGCCTAGAGCCACGCTCTTCCGAGCAATTTTTTCACTTAATTGACATTCACATTTCCCGAAAAGGTCGATATACTTTAGTTCTGTGGGGTTGGATTATCCGTTCGAATGGTGACTCCGAGTCACTTACTCGCGGATTCAATCTTCCTTTCGGAGATTGGGTTGAGGCCTAACTTGGAAAATTGATGTCATTCTTTTCAAGTAGTGAGTCCGACTCACTCACTCACTTAATTGACATTCACATTTCCCGAAAAGGTCGATATACTTTAGTTCTGTGGGGTTGGATTATCCGTTCGAATGGTGACTCCGAGTCACTTACTTGCGAATTCAATCTTCCTTTCGGAGACTGGGTTGAGGCCTAACTTGGGAAATTGATGTCACTCTTTTCAAGTAGTGAGTCCGACTCACTCACTCACTGAGTCGTGGTTCAACACCAGACCAAATGCTCTATTATACACCTGTTGCTTTTATGTGTAGGTACGATTGAATGAGGAGTAGCCTGATGAGTTCAAGCCCGACGAGAAGAACGGTTCTAGTCGTCCTCTTCACAGATGGCGAGCATTGCAATAAAGGCTAAGGATTTCACCTCTTCTTCATCTTGGGGGCGTCAGGTGTACTCTTTTTCCCTTCATTGGGATTTTTTCCCATTGGGTTTTTTCCTAATGAAGGTTTTTAATGAAGCATCTCCCCGACATGGACAAGGGCGGGGATCTTCCAGTCTCGAAGAAGAGCAACTGACTTGGACTACTCCCTCTTAGCCGAGTTTACTACTCGACTAAGGGAGTGGGGGACTCGTGATGGAGTAATAGGACTAGGCCCAGAGCCTAATCGGCCCAAGCCCCGAACTTGGACCCGTGGATCCAAGTCCACAACCTGGAGCCTATCTACCAGTCCAGCGGGGAGCCTGTCAGTCCGACCGACCTGCCAGCTAGGAAAAATAACGGTCAAGCAATTAATGCGTTATTTAATTATGTATTTAATTCCGTATTAATGTTGTAATTAATTAGTCATTATTATCGATAGCAGTTACGATTTGTATACGCCTATAAAAGGCACATTGTAATTCAGATTAGAGAAAAGCGAATTCTAAAAGTTATTTCTGTCTATCAAACTCTCTAGCTACTTTCCTTATTCGTATTGCTTTCCTGATTTCTGCTTGAGTGTCCTTACGTAGCTTTCCTAAAAGCCTACGAGCGTCCTATTTTGGACCAACAATATTCATTATCATAATTGTAATCGCATTATTTCTAAATGGAGATATACACGATAGCTCGAGGAGCAGAATTATTGCATGCTTGGGAAGGGGCCTGTCAAAAAGGAAAGTCACAATCTCCACTGTGTTTGGTTATGAACTTATGATACATGGAAGGCACTTCGTGTAGGGTAGTTAAATGTATACTTGATGTTGTTGTCTTCAAGGATGGGAATGGTTAAGGATGTTTTTAATTGAACGCATTTCTAGTCCTCGACTATTGAGCTAGAGACACTTTTGGTACCCGTCTTTGAAAATTTCCACATTTAGTCCTTCAACTTTCATAAAAGTGACACTTTTGGTCCTTCAACTATTATAATAGATTAATATTGACATTTTTAGTCATCCACTTAATTATTGTGTCAAAATCATAATGAGATGACTAAAAGTGTCAATTTGATAATATTCATGGGACTAAATGTGTGAAACCTTGAAGTCGGGGACTAAAAGTGTCTCTAGCACAATAGTCGAAGACTAAAAATGGAAAAATTAGAAGTCGAATACCGAAAGTGTCATTGACATATTAGTCGAGGGACCAAATGGCAAAATCATCTCTCAAATACACACATAAGATGGACTTTTATTAGACAAACCAGAAAAATTGAATCCAATTTAATTAAAACATCCCGGTCAGGGACGGAGTTGTGTGCAAGTCTAGGGGGGCCTTGGCCCCTCCCATTTTTTTTTATTTTTTTAATTATTGGTTTGTAATCCCCCCTCCCACGTAATTTTGTGTTTCTCTAGTAGTATAGTAGTTTAAAATATGTTCATAGTTTGTACTACACTTATGAATTTTTCAATACTTCATTAAAATATCATATCTATAAAAAGACTATATAACTATATTTTCTAGGGGTAGTTATTTTTGGAAAACATTAAATCTATAACACTATACTTTGGCGGAGTAGTTATTCCATTGTAAATAATACTCCGTACTCCGTATGTTATAATATACGGAGTATTATCGATAATATATTATGGAGTAGTATTGGAGATATTAGTCTTAGGGGCTGTTTACTTTTTTTGTCATTAAGTTCTGTCTGGATTAAGATGCCTGTCTGTATTAAGACGTCTGTCTGGGTTAAGTGACACTAGCATAACAGGCTGTTTACTATGTGTGCTGAATGTATAGTCTGAATCATATTAAATTACCAATTTATCCTTGTACGTGCATCTTCTTCTTCCTATATACAAGTACATTTCTCCTAATTTTATACTTTCTGGGTCAAATCATCCACACAATTATTTAAAAACTGTTTTGTTTGTATCCGAATTTATACTCCTTTAATTTGAAACTATAAAGTGGGTTGAAGTATTTTTGTTTTTTATGAAGTACTCCATATTTATCCTAAATTTATGAAGAAAATTGCCCCCCTTTACGATTCCTTTACGATCTCAATTGGATGTAAAGAAGTACTCCTTTATTATACGCAAACTAAAATTCGGCGTATCTCGAGTATATTTTCAACAAAATTGAAGCTAATCGCATCAATCGTATATAAACAAACTCTTTAATGTATAAAATCATAACAAATACGGAGTATAAATAATTTAGAGAATACCTAGATGAAGAAGGCAGGGAATAGAGCTTCGGTCGCTATGGAATGGATTCAAGGCAGAAGCGAAGAAGAAGGCTCTAGTGATTTCGCTGCTGAAGACAAGTGAAAAAGCAGGCATGTGTTGATGAAGGCAGCTATCAGCGTAGAAGCAGCGACGGAGAACTCAGGGTAAAAACGAGATGCTCGTAAATTAAGATGTCTGAAAGCTAAGGACAACTAATACGGAGCTGAGCCGATTAAGTCAGAAATGTCTGAGCGAATAAGTCAGGATTTATATTAAGTCCCAAGCAGGGGCAGATCTAGAAAATTTTGTTATTGGGGGCACAAATGTGTTAGAGACGGTATCATTTTACAATACATGTAAAAAAAGAGAAAATGTAATATTTTACGAAATACTCCGCATAATAATCAAATATTATTACAGAAAATACTACTCCGTATGAATTTGAGAAAAACTATAAATCTCTTAACTTCTTTTTTGGAATGATTCCATATCATTTAAAATCCTTAAGACTTAAAAATTGTCCCAATTGGAATAATTGCGTGTAAACTATTCCTCTCAAACATGTATTTCTATGCCAATGTTTCAATATAGTATTTATAACACAAATTAATTATTACTACGTACTAAGTTACATCTAAAACAAACAATCAAGTACTAGTAAAGTAATACTTTTCATTCAAAACCAACAAATCACAAACTAATATAAAAACTAATGAATTAAATTAAACATTTTTTTAGAAACTTAGATTGAACCTTGTTATACTAAGATTAAGAAATACTACGTATAAACGTAGGTTTTCAAAAAAAAATACGATAGCATAAACGTAGAGGTGGGATCACATAAATTAGAGTAGAATCTCATTTTTCTTGGCCTCCACCTATCAATTAGTTGTTGAATATTTGAATTTGATAATAATATTACAAGCAATATATACGTCCAGTTGGAAATTTAATGGGGGCACGTTAATTTTTTGTTGGGGGCATATTGTCCAAATAACAATAATTTTAAAATTTTTCAACGTATAATTAGCAATTTATTGGGGGCAAGTGCCCCCATCTATTAATATCTAAAGGAACACTTTTTTTGGGAATAGTGTTCCCTCCCAAAAATGTCAACATCAAATTTTATTGTAATTTTTCATCAAAAGTAATTGTAAAAATGTTATGTAAAGATCGCAGCTCAATCATAAAATAAATATTTGCTATTCCGCAATTGAGGAGTTAGTGGAGTCAAATCATGTACATTGTGTTCCTATTGGTCAACAAAGAGGTGGGAACATTTCATATTAAAGGGTTGGTATGTTCCAATTGGTTTAAAAAAGAGGTGAGCACTATTCATAGAAAGGAAAATTGCTCAACAGTACACTTTAAAGACAGAGAGTCATATCCGGCCAGGCTGTTTCCAAAACCATGCGTACAAATGAAACAATACTGCTCAATTTTAATTGGTGGTGGAAGAGGTGGGAACAGTGATCTAGATTTGGAATATCTTACGTTTGTGGGAAAAGCTGAATGGTTGCCCATACACATTTTTTCTATAAAAACAATGCTCTACCCTTTCCATTCCACGTGCTCACAACACAAAACTCATACAACAAATGCTTCTGGGATGCACCAAACTATTAATCTACCACTTTTTAAAGTTGTGTATAGCTACAAAATGGTAATTACGGTATTTCCTAATTTATGTTTATAATTCATGTGGTTTTCATTTATATATTACTCCGTATAACAAATGAACGAGGCTTACATTTTAAGACTACAACGTTCCTAATAATCACCTACCTCTCAGTCACATGTGATGTATATAGTGCGTTCTTATTTATATAATAATCTGATCTGTAGTCTATTTTAGAAGGCACTAAAGGCATCGTTTGTCCAGGTATCAATAACGTGCGAATTAAAAGTGCAGATAAAGAAACATACCCGAGAAACTCGGATCAATGGTGCTCCCTTCATTCCTGTTTCTATCATATCCTATATCTAATTATTACATTACAAATTTTGCAGTTCACAAAGGAGGTTCACGAATGGGTCCATTGAAAGATACATGTTGATGATGTTCAAATGCAATAAAGTACAATTTTTCATTCACCAGCCTGCATTTACAAAGATTATTTGGGCACCCATTGCTGTGAAATGGATTGAGGTGCACGATGCAAAGGGAATAACAGCACGTTCCGCAATGAATGAATGATTCAGAAAAATGATATCACTGTATAACTAACTACATCGACTTAGACATACAGAGTATTGATCAATTTATAAATATTAGTGTATACATTAAATTGGTTATACAGTGAATCACAAAATTAGCTAGAAGTGTTATTGTCTTTTTTGGTTGTTCGGATCTCAAAATTCAATCTCAGTATGCATTTTATCATATCTTCGGACTGGGGGTGTTATTTTATAGAAAAATACCAACACTCTGGCCCAGTGTTGCGAGTGGTGAGTGGATTTCCTTTACCAAAACTGCATCAGATTGGAAATTTTGAAATTTATATGTCTAGCAATATTCTAACATGTTTCAAGCAGGTTTACGATTTAAAGAAAATACAATTGGTTATGGGATGCGGGTGATGTATTTAGAACAATTTTTTAGATTTTTCAGATGAGAGTTAAATGTTTCTTATTGAAGATGCATAGGTATGCAATTTACCATACTTCTTGAAGGGCCGAAAATATACAACATGTAACCACGTGCACCACCTCAGCCACCTTTTCTAATTAACCAGTGATATACTTTAATTAGTTAAAGAGAAATTCACCTCTTTGAAAAAAATTGTTAAAAATGAAGTATGAGAAGATATGGGTGACATGTCGAACGGTGCATTGTGTTTACTTGCTTCATCTGATAGGAGTCATGGATGATTCCTGCCTGATTAGCTGTATTGTTTCTCCCCAGACGCCCTTAGTGATGCCACACATTATTTTATCAAGACCATGCCTGCATCCAAGAAAATTCTAGAACAGTTTAATTTTTTTCTTACTACGTATAAAATTGTCATTGTTCAAGTCATTGTTCAAGTCTAACATAAAATTGTTTGAATGTAAAATTTCTGAAACGTACACCATGAATGACATATTATTTGGGGTTTACTTTTTTATACACTAGATGATTAAATTTCAAATTTATACTCCCTTCGTCCCAAAAACAACTACACAGTTTGACATTCACAAAGATTAAAATAAATAAATTTGACTTTACTGTGGAGGCACTGTTTTGCACTGTTTGACACTATTTAGCACTTTTTTTATGTAGATAATTTGCCAAATAGGGAAAGTATTGAAGTGTGAAGTTAATTTTGGGACA